CCCCCCCAAAATGCAGGTGGCCCCCAATGTCTTAGAATTTGGAAACGGCATCTTTAGAGAGGAGGTTCAGTTAAAATAAGGACCCTAATACAATTGAATCAGTCTCTTATAAGAAGACAGAGAGCCATCCAGAGTGCCCACAGAGCTTAGACCTTGTGAAGACATAGTGAGAAGGCACCATTCGTTAGCAGAGAAAAGTGATTATGAACCCAATCTGCTAACCCTTTGAACCGAGTCTTTTAGCCTCCTGAATTGTGGGGAAACTGTCTATTGTATTGTTTCCATAATTTAAATTTTTTTTTATTTTATGCATATGGGTATTTTGCCAGCATATATGTAAGCATGCCACATGTGTGCCACAGAGGCCAGAGGTGGGTGTCAGATGGTGAACTGCCATGTGGGTGCTGGGAACTGAACCTGTGTCCTCTGGAAAAACGGCTCTTAATCACCGAGTCATCACTCCGGTCCTGTGTCTACTGTTTAAGCCACCCTGACTTCAATACTGTTATGAAGCCCTAGCAAATAATTGTCATCAGAACACTAAGAGACATGTTCTGAGAGAATCAGCCTTGTGTCACATGAAGAGTCAGTGGACATCCCTTTCATTTGAGATTTGATGTTAGGATAATAGTGTTCTTTCAAAATAACCATCTTAATTTCCTTGCTAATGAGCTAGAAACAATGCCTCAGAGTCAAAATTAATATCACCACGTAATTTTCTCATATCTCAGAGCTCTGGATAACACCTATGAAAGGAAAGCATTTGTATTAAAGGCCAAATATAACAAAATGTCATGCAAGTGAAAAGTAACAGATATATAGCAGAAATTTAGAATTCTCACTTTACAATGGTTGGATACAGCTCTGCTGTATAAACATAAAGGAGCTCAAATGCTGACCCTATGGCAATTTTGGCAGCCAAGAACACCACTACTTTCAAAACATAGTTATTCTAGGGGGGAAACAGAATAAACTTATTATAAATGACACTTTTAATGAAAATTTAGGCATTAAAATTACTTGAAACTAGGGCTGGAGAGATTACTCAGCAGTTGAAAACACTGACTGCTCTTGCAGAGGACCCAGGTTCAGGTCCCAGCACCCACACGGCAGCTAACAACCATTTGTAACTCCAGTTCTGGGGATCTGATGCCCTCTTCTGCCTTTTGCGGGCATTGCACATACAGATACACTCACATACATGCAGGTATAACACTCATACACATAAAACAAAAATAAAAAAACTTTTAAATCAGTTTTACTGCTCCCTTTCCTAATCTTGGACGGTTTGAAAGGTCTGTTGGGAAGACTGGGGTAAGACTCATCCAAGTGGTGCTGGTTGTATAATAATTGCCCTTCCCCTCCTTGATACAGCGGAAGCCTCGAAACAAAATGTACTTTGGGGGCAGTAAATTCTGGCTTATAGATTATCTCCAGAAAATAATTCAAAAGAGATAACTGTTGTTTGGCTGCTTAGTTGGTTGGCGTGACATATCCCTCAAAGCCTCTCAATTACTGTCTCCAGCTCATTTTCTGCTGTCTCCAACGTGTTCCCCTTCCAGGGTAGCTGACAGGACCTTCCATGTTCTGAGAGTTTTTTTTTCTCTCTTCCCTCATCTGAGAGCTGGATGCCAAGCTCCCAAACCTCAGAGCTCACTATTAAAAGTGGTAGCCCTGAATGACTTCTTGGAACTGACCACCACCTCTCTAAGTCTCACTATAGCTAATCAGATACCCAACCAAACCTTCTCTGAGCAAGATATAATTTATACTATGTTAAGTTGCTGAGACTTGGGGGGATGCCTCTTAAAACTGCTAATGTCATTGTTATTGTAGACAATATTCATTGAATGAATGGATGTATTTGTTTCTGTTTTTACAGCGCTGGAGACTGAACCCAGGGCCTCCACATGGTAGGCAAGCACTGTACCACTGAGCCTCATCCTCAGCCCCAATTACTGAGATTTAATAAAATAACTTGTACTATACTGACATTATCATTAAGGGAGAAGTTTTGTTGTTAGAAGAGCTATAGTTGTGGTTGTAGAGTACTGCTCTATGTCTAGAAGTTTCTAGCAGCTACTCTCCTTTCTTCTCCATTACTACAAAATGTAAAATTTCTGGGGTTCTGCTGGAACCTCAAAGCAACCATCATCAAGTCAACTTGATTACTTTTTAAAAGGCGTAGATCACCACTGTGGTGACATATGGATTTAATCCTAGCACTCAGGAAGCAGAAGCAGGTGGATTTCTGTGAAAGCCAGCTGGAATGGTCTACAGAGTGAGTTCCATGCCAGCTGCAACTACATAGACCCTGTCTCAAAAAAAAAAAAGAAAGAAAGAAAGAAAGAAAGAAAGAAAGAAAGAAAGAAAGAAAGAAAGTATTGATGTATATTAGCTGTATGAAAATCACCTTGAAATTTAGCAACATAAAACATTTGGTTCACCGACCCTAGTAATTAGATAGTGCTACGAAAACTTCAAACAATATGCAAAACTTAAAATGCTTTGCTCTAAATATTGGTATACTATTTCTTAATAAATGTAATTGTTGGAGAAATTTGCTACATTCTAAAATATTGTTATGATAACCACAGCATTCAAATCAAGAATTAAAATATAGGCTCTGATACCATTGAAGGGAGGGTCTCTTCTAGATACTATGGGTACTGCAAGTGGTACAGCTTGCCGAGTACAGGAATGAGAAAGTTGCTTCCACAGCTTAAGGCATCTCTCCTCATTAAGAAACTGCATTTAAAAAACAAGGTTCTGAGGATTGGAGAGACAGCTCAGCAGCTAAGAGTGAGTACTATTCTTTCAGAAGAGCTGAGTTCAGTTCCCAGCACCCACATGAAGCAGCTCACAACTACCTATAAATACAGTTTCAGAGGTAATTTGATGCCTGTGGTTTCCTTGGGCACCTGCATTCATGTGCACACACCCACACACAGGCACACACACAAACACATAATTTTAAAAAAAATAAAAATATTTTTTTAAAACCCAAGTTTCTCAGGACATTGATACATACTAAGAAACTATCAGTTTGCTATAGGAAAAACAGAGACACTATGAATATTTGATTTATTATATCCTTCAGATGTTCTCAAGCATCTTTCATTCAGTTTTCTGATTGTGAGAACATGGGCCTGCATCTTTAGGCCACATTCCACAGACTGAATCAGGCCAAATCTCTCTGCAGTTCTCCCTGGGACAGAGTTAAGATAAGTAGTCTGTGGGGGTTGGAGAGATGGCTCAGTAGTTAAGAGCACTGGCTGCTCCTGCAGAGGACCCAGGTTTGGGTTCCCAACACCCACATGGCAGCTAATAACTTTCTATAGTTCTAGTTCCAAGGGATCCGATGCCCTCTTCTGGCCTTGGCAGGCATTGCACTCACAGATGCACTTACATACACACAGGCAAAACATTCATACACACAAAATAAAAGTAAATGAATAAATAAATTTTTAAAAAAGAATCAGTCTGTACTGTGATATGACAGCTCTCAATTCATGATACCTGGCTCCTCCATGTTCTCTGTCATATATGCTATGCTGAGCCAAATCACTAAAGTGATGTGAAACTTCCTGCCATCTCTAAAATGTTATAAAAAGTCCTCAGAGGGTTTTGGCTCAGGGACATTCTTTGAAAGTTGCTCTCTGAAGTCTTCCGACTCCACTCCCACCCCCACACTGGCCACCATTCCTCTCTCTCTCTCTCTCTCTCTCTCTCCCTCCCTCCCTCCCTCCCTCCTACTCTTAATGAATATTTTCAACCCTTAAAGGGAACTCTCTCCTTTCCTTTAAGTCACCATCATGTTTAGATCTACATTTATTGTATTGTTTCTGTCTAATGCTCTCTTTCCCACCTTGAGGCCCAATCATGGCCTTGAGCACCATTCACTCTAATAAGTCTCATACAATTGTGTGTCAATTCAATAGCTTATCACTGCTCTTCTTGTTTCATTTAACATGGATCACATGTCACCTCTGAGAGGCACATCATCCTGAATATCTTTCTCCTTTTTCTCTAATTCACACTTGACACAAGTTACTCGTTTCATGTACAGAAATTTAATTCACTGGTCTTCAGTAACTGTCACATAATACTTGCTGCATCAATTCTTGTTGAGTGAATAAGTGAATAAATTTCCATGTACTGGGCTGGGGATGTAATTCAGTTAGTAGAGTGTCTGCCTAGCATGCATGAAGCCCTGAGTTCAATCTCCACCACCAGGTAAAATTGAGTGTGGTGGTGCAAGCCAATAACCTCAGCATTTTGAGGTAGAGCAGAAGGATAAGAAGTTCAGGGCCATCCTTGACTATAATAGTAAGTTTGAAGCCAGCCTGGCCTACATGAAACTATATCAAAAAGAAACAAAGTTCCATAATCACTGGCAGGTGTGATCAACCTCCCTCACACAAAACTGTTCTGTTTATAAAATACAACATGAAACATCTTTGGCAAGTGGGATTATGGGCTTTACAAAATTCTTATTTTTTCCCCACAACAAATATATCATTTACATACGGAAAGAAATGTGTTTTTTAAGAAGACATCTTTACATATTAATTATATACTCTAGCCACATGTCTGAATTGGTCTTCATACTTACCATACAATATTAAACGTCTTCCCATGAAACTGTCACAGCCATTCTATAAATAAAACAAAATAACTCACCTGGGGTATCACCATAAACACACCACAGATCAGCGAGTTCGACAAAAGGAAGAAGACCAGAGAGTTTCTTCTTCCCACCTTCTCCAACAAGATGCACACAATAAAGTAGGTAGTAATTTCCATAGCACCTGTCATTAAGCAAAGGATCTCTCTGTGAGGGTGGCTGCCCAGCTGTACAGGGGCCCCATTGTGGCATAGCCTACCACCCAAAAGGAATCAACAACCTTGGAGTATTTTTATATATTTATATTTTATGTGTATGAGTGTTTCACCTGCATGATTGTAAGTGCATCCATGTCATGCAAGGCCAGTGGAGGCCAGAAGAAGGCATCAGACACCCTGGAATTCAAGTTATGGATGGTTGTTAGCCACCACGTGGGTGCTGGGAACCAAACCCAGGTCCTCTCTAAGAGCAGCCAGTGCTCTTAACTGCTGAGCCATCTCTCCAGCCTCCTTCCAGGGGTCTTTAAGAACTAAGAACTACCTAAGTGGTAGAATGCTTTACCTCTTTTTAACTCAGTGGAGCAAGATAAATGTTTACTGTGAAACCACTAGGCTCACAAAATTCACCAAAGCCCTTACATTGTCCTAGGGGCCAAGTGTACGAGGACTGTGTGGTGCCTGGAGGTCAGGCCTCTTGAATGAATGAAGAAAGAAACAGAACTACATTTCTTATGTTGGAATTTTTTTTTTGTATCTGTAACTCCAAACTTAGAAATTGTTTAAGACAAATAAAAATAGAATCCACAGTTTAGGTAAAACCCCCTACCACTACCACCAGGCCACTCAAACATAACCAAACAACATAAGCCTAAGGCACCCTGATATCTGTGATCTACCTCTAATCACAAAGGTAACACATGTCAGTTTTGCATCCTTATTAGCATAAGGCAGTGAAATTAAACCTGACAGCCCGAGACAAGGGTTTGAACAGATATGCTGATCCTAAAAGAATGTTGGTGGATAACAGCCAATCATAAAAAAGGTCAAGCTGCCTCCTCTTCTATGCTTGAAATGGGGCCATAAGTTCTTCCAGTTGAAAATAATTCTTTTGTATGTGCAACAAACTTCTAAATTTTTAAGTTTTTGATGTGACTTAATCTTTGACAAAAGTAAAGTAGGAAACTTCCTATTAATTAGGTACATTAACTAATGAGAACTATTTAATAAATTCTGTTTTTTGGGACAGGGTCTTGTGCATCCCATGGCTAGCCTCCAACTCACTATTTAGCCATCTTGAACTTCCGATCCTCCTGCCTCTACCTCCTGAATGCTGGATTACAGATGCAAGCCAACAGACCCTAGTTTTTACAGTGCTGAGGATCGAACCCAGCTTCATGCATGCTCAGCAAGCACTCCACCAACTGAGCTACATCCCAAGCCCCATTTAATAGATTATAGACCTAAAGTAAAACCTTTTTGATCTAATACAAATTCCCATCAGAACAGGTATGTTGTCTTGAACTTCTCACTTTACTTCTCTACAAAAGGAAGAAAATATCTGAATCCATAAATCTATATATCCATTTGCACATGAAAAAAATCTTTCCTTGTAGAATCAAAGCATAGATCTTAGATCTAAAACAAATAAGTCATAACTACCATGCAACATCAAGTAAGAGGCAACCTGAAAGATCTCTGAGCAAAACAGAGCAAACCCAACAACTTCCTTTAGGAAGCTTTCACTGCTTTCTGCTGGTCATAATTCAGTCCTATAAGTGCAAGCCCTGGAGAGGTGGGTCCAGATCTCTGTATCTCACACAACTTCTAAAACACCTCCCTGATATAGATGCCTATTTTCTAAGTGAGCATTACCTGGTAATACATGAAAAATTAAACTCAACAGTAACCACTCAAAAAAATTATCTTGGGAGGGGCTGAGACCTTAGTAGAGCACCTGGATCTGGCCTCCGCATGGTGGTAAGCGTCCCCAAATCTCATGGTGCCCAACCCCCTAATTGGGATTATGTGAGGCCCCTCCCACTTTGCCAGGGGTAGAGCTCTCTGCCTTACAGTGGGGTAGGGGCTGAGACCTTAGCAGGCTGCCTGAGAGTGGCAAAAGCTGGCCTTCCCTTAGTGAACTTCTCAAATTGTGCTCCAGTGCCTGGTAGTAGAGGTCCAGACATTAGATGGAAGCCAGACTGTATCTGACTGGAGCCCAACTTGGGCTTCTGTGGGAATTCCTGAATAGCTGATCCAAAGCCATCAGTTCCCTGCAAAATAAAATCTGAGAGAACCTGGAACCTAGACCAACTGGCTTTACATACCCAATAAGAAAACAACCAAAGCACACCACTAATACAAATAGAAGCAAACCTCAGCTCCACAGAAGAAGGCTTGAGTTTCATACCAGAGGCACAAACAACAAAAGAAATCCACATGCCAAAACCACAGAAAAATAATAATATAGAAAACCAAAACAGCATGTTCCCACCAAACTCTGCCAGTCCTGTAGAAGAGTTCTACAAGGAGGAACCCCTAGAGATAACCCATGACACAGAATTTAAAAGAACATAACAAACATGATCAAGGAATTCAATGAATTTAAAGAACATACAAACAAACAAATCAAAGAACTAAAAGAAGATAGGGATAAACTTCTGACTGAATTCACAAAAGAGATAGAAACATTGAAGAAAACTCAGGCTGAAATGAAGAAGAAAGTGAAAAACTCAACAAGCCAACGTGAAACAAAAGGAGAAAGCCTCACCACTAGAATGAGTGAAATGTAAAACAGAATATCAACACTGGAGGATAAACTTGAAGAACTGGACCACTCAAGTAAAGATTATTAAAAATTTTTTAAGACTCAGGAATGGAATATGCAGGAAATATGAAAAGACAAAATCTGCACATCATAGGCATAGAGGAAGGAGAAGAATTTCAGGTTAACAGTATCAACCAGATCTTAAACAGGACTGTAGAGGAGAATGTCCCAAAATTAAGGAAAGACATGCCCATACAAATATAAGAAGCACATAGAACACCAAATAGATATGACCAGAAAAGAAACTCCCATGGCATATCATAGTAAAAGCACTAAATGTACAGATCAAAGAGAGAATACTGAAAGCTGCAAAAGAGAAACAACTCACATATAAAAGAAAACCCATCAGAATTACAGCTGACTTATCAATGCAAACTACTAAAGCCAGAGGAGCCTGGACCAAGATATTTCCATTACTAAATGACCATAGATGCCAACCCAGGATACTTTACCCAGCAAAAATATCTATTATAGTTGAAGGGGAAAGAAAAATCTTCCAAGACACAAATAGACTGAGAGAATACATGTCCACAAAACCAGCCCTTCAAAGAAATACTTGAGGCAATACAAAGAATGGAGAAAGGAACAACTATACACCAGGGGCAAAAGAAAGAAACTAAATGAAGATATAATTGTGGAAACACAAAATTAGACAAAGAATGCAAACAGTAATCAAAATGATGGCAACAAAAATACACATCTTTAAATAACAACTTTAAATATCAATGGACTGAACTCCCCAGTCAAAAGACACAGGCTAGTTGAATGGATTAAGAAACAAAATTCACCTTTTTATTGTCTGCAAGAACCCCATCTCACTTTCAAGGACAGGTACTACCTTAAGGTGAAAGGATGTAAAAGAATATTTCAAGCAAATGGCATTAAGAAACAAGCAAGGGTTGCAATTCTAATATCTGACAAAATAGACTTCAAACTAAAACTAATCAGAATCAATAAAGAGGGCTACTTCATTCTGATCAAAGGAGCAATTAACCAAGAAGATATTACAATAATAAACATATATGCATCAAACTCTGGTGTACCAAAATTCATAAAAACAACACTACAGAACTTTAAGATACAGATTAACTTCAACTCAGTAATAGTAGGGGAATTTAATATCCCACTGTCTCAATTAGGCAGGTCAACTTGACAAAGTATAAACAGAGAGACATCTGAATTAAATGATACCATACATCAAATGGACCTAACAGACATCTTCTGAATCTTCCACCCAAGCACCAAAGATCTATTCAGCACCCCATGGAACATTCTCTAAAACTGACCACATACTGGGGCACAAAACAAACCTAAACAAATACAAAAATATTAAAATAGTTCCATGCATTCTATCAGACTACAATGCAATAAGGCTTAAAATCAACACTGGAAGAAGCCCTAATCACTACACGAACTCATGGAGATTAAACAACACACTCCTGAATGATGACTGGGTCAAAGGATAAATTAAGAAAGAAATAAAAGAATTCCTGAAATTCAATGAAAAGTGTAATACAACACAACAAAACCTCTGAGACACTTTAAAAGCAGACCTAAGAGGGAAATTTATAGCTCTAAGTGTCTACAGTAACAAATCAGAAAGAGCACAAATAAATGACTTAACATTCCAACTCAAGACTCTGGAAAGGCAAGAACAAATGAAACCCAAACCAAGAAGAATAGAAGAAATAACAAAAATCAGAGCAGAAATTAATGAAATAGAAACAAAGAGACCAATACAAAGAGTCAATGAATCTAAGGGCTGGTTCTTTGAAAAGATAAACAAGGTAGACCCTTAGCCCAGTTAACCAAAAGGAAGAAAGAGCAAATCCAAATGAATAAAAGCAGAGATGAAAGGGGAAACATCACAACAGACACCAAAAAGATCCAGAACATTATAAGGGACTATTTTGAAAACAGTATACTCTGTTAAATTTCAAAACCTAAAAGAAGGGGCTGGAGAGATGGCTCAGTGGTTACGAACACTGGCTGTTCTTGCAGAAGACCTGGGTTCAAATCCCAGCACCCACATGGTAGCTAACAACTGTCCATAACTACAGTTCCAAGGGATCTGACAGCCTTGTCTGTCCTCCGCAGGCGTTTCACTACATGGATGCACTTATCTACATGCAGGCAATACACGCATACACATAAAATAAAAATAATAAATAAAATATTTTTTTAAAAAACCTAAAAGAAATGGATGGCTGTCTAAAATCACAGAAACAACCAAAGTTAAACCAAGAAGAGATCAACAGTTTAAATAGGCTCGTATCATATAAGGAAATCGAAACAGTAATACAAAACCTCCCGACTAAAAAAGTCCAGGCTCATATGGATTTACAGCAGAATTCTACCAGA